GTCTTTCTTAGTATCCTTTTGTTCGGCGATCTATGTGGGTAGTTGTCGCATGTGTTCTCTCTCTCTCTCTCTCTCTCTCTCTCTGCTTGTTTGACTTTATGTCTCTCTCTCTCTATGTGTGTGTGTGTGTTTGCATGTGTTATATATGCATCACATATACGGAAGCAAGACGCCTACAACTTAAATTTACATTGTCGATTTGTGTTCAGCGTGCTCCTACGCTTCTTTGTTTTGTCAAGCCGCCGCTTCGTCGCACGGATTGCTTTTGATGCGGCTAATTGTCATCGTGGCTGCGACTTGGTTTACTGAGCAGATATTTTGTTGTTGGTTTTTTGTTGTTGCTGTTTTCTCCTTCACTTTTTCTTTCTATGCCGCGTCTTTGTATTACTTCTACTCATTTTTTCCGCCACATACTGAAGCTGCGCTACGCATAGGATTCACGTAACCTTTCACAGCTTTTTAATTTTCACCTATTTTATTTTAACCAATTGTCACTGCGGAAAAGATGCTGTCAGAAGAGGCATACGGGCATATTGAGCTCATCATCGGCCCCATGTTTGCGGGGAAGACGACGGAGTTGATGCGTCGGGTCCGACGCGAGTTGCATGCGAAGCGTACCTGTTACGTCATCAAGCACTCCCATGATGTGCGCTACAACAGCGAGTGTGTGTCGTCGCACGACATGCAGGTTTTGGGCGCCACAGCAGCCGTTGCGGAGTTGCGCGAGATTGGCGATGCGTGGCGCGCGTACCAAGTGGTGGCTGTGGACGAGGGCCAGTTTTTCCCTGACATTGTCGAATTCTGCAACGTGGCCGCCGATGCCGGGAAGACGGTCATTGTCTCGGCCCTCGACGGGGATTACCGCCGGCGCCCGTTTGATGGCATCTGCCGTCTTATTCCCCTCGCCGAGACGGTGAAGAAGCTCAGTGCGGTTTGCATGGAGTGCCACTCCCGCTCTGCCTCCTTCACGTACCGCACTGTGTCCTCTGAGAAGCGGGAGCTCATCGGTGGTGCTGACATGTACATTGCCGCCTGCAGAAGATGCTTCATCAGTAAGTCGCGAAAGCGGGCGCGGGCGGAGGCGGCCAGCTGCTCGGCGGATAAACTGGAGGACGCTCCGCAAGACCAGGAGGCGGAACCAAGGACACCTTCAACAACGGAGGCGGGGGCGGCGGGATTCCCGTCACCGCTCAAAATCGATACAAAGGCCCCAGACGACGACAAGCACTGCACACCAAAGGAACGGCTTACGTGTGACTAAGACTGCCGTCCACTC